TCGCATTTTGTCATCTCCAAGGAGTGGTTCATAGAGATCTTAAACCAGAGGTGAACAAAACTCTGAGCTAGGTACATTTAGATAGTAGGCAGCTAGGAAGGTTACATGCCTAATTAGGTGTATACTGTTGAGTGATTGTAATTGTAGTTACTCTTACTACTCCTCGGAGCAAATCAGCTACTCTAGGAGTTTCATGGAACTTGTAAATTCATGCGGGTTATGTCTGGTTTTACTATGATATCAAATTGAGAAACCCATTCAAAATGTTGTTATAGAAAGTGATTCTTTCAAAAGCTGATGCGTTAGTGCAGCATGATTACCTCTACTTGCACAATGTGCTTATTACTTAAGCTAGTTTGGCTTTTCACTATCCAAAATATGTTTTTTTTTTAAATTGTGACAAGTAATTACACCTGGCCGTTCTTGAATAACCTGTGGTGATGTACCGGAATGAACTGTTCATGTGATAAAAGTCATTTCACTTATGGTGGCTGGGTCTGTTGACTTGTATAATGCCGAATTTTTTGTGTTCATGCATTAAAATTTGCTAGTTGTTCTCGTGCTCGGTCATTCTGAATTATAAAATACTGCTATTTGCTGGTTCAGAACTTTCTTTATACATTGAAGGACGAGAATTCCCAATTGAAGGCAATAGATTTCGGCTTATCAGACTTTGTGAGGCCAGGTTTGTTCCTGGGGCTTTACAATAAGTCCCTACAGTGTGAAATTTCTAAGCATCAACATTATGGGTTCTGATCAGGTGTCTGAATTCTAATGCTTGTTAGTGCTCTACATGCATTACAGATGAGAAGCTTAATGACATAGTTGGAAGCGCGTATTATGTTGCCCCTGAAGTTTTGCATAGATCCTACAGTACAGAGGCTGATGTCTGGAGTGTTGGTGTGATAGCTTATATTCTGTTATGCGGTAGTCGGCCATTTTGGGCAAGGACAGAGTCTGGAATTTTCCGCGCTGTCCTGAAAGCTGAGCCAGGTTTTGATGAACCGCCATGGCCTTCTTTATCTTCAGAGGCAAAGGACTTTGTCAAGCGCCTGTTGAACAAGGATCCCAGGAGACGTATGAGTGCTGCTCAGGCATTAAGTGAGTGTTCGACTTGCTCCTTTTGATAGTGAGCGGCTTGTAGAAGTAGACTGACAGGTTGTAAGCTTTTTCTTCCATGCGCAGGCCATCCTTGGATTCGGAATTATAATGGTGTGAAAGTCCCTCTTGATGTACTTATATTTAGACTCATGAAGGTTTATATGCGGTCATCATCTTTGCGAAGAGCTGCATTAAAGGTATGAAGTGTTGCACTTTTTTCTTTGTTTGAAGTTGATTAGTGTTGACACCTATTTTAGTCTCATAAAGTTGCTTGTTTCTTCGATGTTCTTTCTCCCCCAATATTAAATTATAGAAAGAATAGTTAAACTTCAATAAGGGCCTCTTTTGGAGGCTTCATTAATGTAAAGCACTATTAGCAAGCTTTGATGAATGCATGCCCATTGATGATGTCTTATGATGACTACTTCCTACGCTGCAAAAAGTGGCTGCTTTGGCCAGGGTATTTTAAGCGACTCAGATGCTTGAGCTCCCACACTTGCACCCTTGTGTATCTGTGTTTGCATTTGTCAATATCCTATTTTTTAATTCTAAATAAACGATTAGGAAAACAGCAGCTGGCAGCATTGACAGATCATCTGGCTCAATGAGAGCTGTTTTGACATCAGTATGATTTTTTCGCATTTCAAAACTTAGAAGGGTACGTAGTCTTTCAGAAAATGCATTCACGTCATGAGTTGGTACAATTGCAAATTATCTTTACCTTGACTTTTTTGTGTTCTGAGATCCAACCTCAGTTTACTTTTTAAGTTCCTGTAAGCCAAAAAAAAAAAAAGAGAGTCCATCTGATGATTCAGACAATTGGAGGAGCACTCCACCTTGATTTTGTTAGTGTTATGATATCCTACCTATCCAAATTACTTTGGAAATTCTTATCTTAATTAAAAACGTTGATACTTTCTGAGGAAGTGCATGAGCCAGCAATACTTCAGTTACAGATTTCATTGTCCCACTTTTTTGAAAGCTTTACTACTTTAAAGTGATTGATCTGTTTCAGTGCTTGAGAGTTTTGTTTGATCTGGGAAGCAGAGAGGCTTTTGATGAAGAGCCTAACAAATGCCCTTGGATGCAATTTAAGTTGTACCACAGGATTCTTCAGTTTCTCAGCTGATATCTAATTAAGAAACTGAATTTGTAAGAAGTGAGTATCCTACAGTTTCTAAGCTTGAATTCTTCATAAATAAAGAAAGAGAAAGCTTGAATTCTTGAGCTTAAATTTTAAGATCTCGTTTAGAGTGGACTTCTAGCAACATCTTAAATTGAGATGCACAATGAGTGTTGCAATTTCAAGGTTTCATTGTTTGCTATTTGTTCAACCAAAATTTTCTGAATTCTATTTAATATATCATTGCAGGCGTTAGCAAAGACATTGACAGTGGATGAACTAGTTTACCTGAGAGAACAGTTTACGCTGCTCGAACCTAATAAAAGTGGCAGCATAACTTTAGAAAATTTGAAGCTGGTAAGTGTCATTCCCTTTTGTCCTCTCTCTCTCTCTCTCTCTCTCTCTCTCTCTCTCTCTCTCTGTTTTACATAACACGTGTTGCACACCACATGTACGCATTTGCTGGTACACGTACATATACATGTCACTGACATCGCATGGAGATCACGTAATTGTTATCATTGCAAGTTTCTCATTAATCTTATTCTTGGCAGGCCCTGATGAAAAATGCAACTGATGCAATGAAAGATTCTCGCATTCCTGATTTCCTTGCATCGGTAGACCAGGGACTTTAATTTCACACGGTTCCATGAATTATTTGTCAATTTGAATTTTGTGTTTGCTAGCTGTCTAACCAATGATATGCTGTTCATTTCAGCTAAATGCCCTTCAATACAGAAGGATGGATTTTGAAGAGTTCTGTGCAGCTGCTTTGAGTGTCCATCAGCTGGAGGCACTTGATAATTGGGAACAGCATGCCCGTTCTGCGTACGAACATTTTGAGAAGGATGGAAACAGGACCATCGTAATTGATGAACTGGCTTCTGTGAGTTTAATTGTTCTGGCTTTTGCATCTATTAGCATTGTCTCTGGATCAACTTTTAAAGTTTTAAATGTCTTTTAAACACATTATTTGCTTCAATTACCCCCTGGTAGTGCCAAGTCATTCAATCCACAAATACTTAACATATTCAAATGGTTCTCCTGGCGAGATTGCACACTGTCAAATGAGACGGGTCACTGAAAACAGAGAAATTAAAGCACTACTGAAAATTATCAGACATAAAACATGGGGAAAATGGTAGAGAAATAAGTGTTGTTGCCATATGTCTGTCATTTTCTTGTGCCACCTCAAATGTTGCGCTCTCCTTTGTATAATCCTCGTTCAATTGGAAAATGATCCAGTGATTTCACCTCGTTTCACTCTGAAACCTTGTCTTTGCTTAGTTAGACCTTAGATTCTAATCTGTAAATAGGTGAAGGAATTTGTATGGTTATGCATATATGACTCAGCCTCGTTTTCCAGTGATGACAAAAACCACCGATGCAGCCGACATGATCAAACAAGCTTTGTTAATATATTGATGTGTCTATTACGAAGCTTAGTGAACATGGATTATTGTGTCAATTTTACAACTCAAATAAGAGTTCTAATCAGATTACAATTCTTCACCCTGTTGAATTTGTTGTCTTATCTATTTTGGATTTGACTTCTATTAGGATTTTCATTTTGCAAAGTTTGATTCGGATAGCGTTCTTTTATCTTGGTTGATTTATTTATTCTTTTGTCACATTTAAGTTGAAGGAGTAATTTAGAAAAATCTGGGGAATTGTAACCCTCTCTCTGTATAATAGAGAGCGAATGAAGATTATTGAATCCTTGTGAGTCTTTGCTTTTGAACCATGGGATGCAATTCTCCTCTGAATTGATGCTTAAGAAACCCTAGCGCGATACTTATGTGGCCTGGGTTTGATGTCTGAAAATTTCTCTCATCGAGTAATTGTTTGCCATGGTTCCGGGCTCACTTCTTTGGGACTGATCGTCTTACATCAAGAACAAGTAGAGCGGTAATTTTGCTCTTCTCCGTCTTCCATTTCTCGTTGTTCCTTATTTTTTTCTACTTGAATTCTATGTCAGGAACTTGGTCTTTCACCTTCTGTCCCGGTTCATGCCGTCCTCCATGATTGGATAAGACACACTGATGGGAAGCTAAGCTTCCTTGGGTTCATCAAATTGTTGCACGGAATGTCCAGCCGTATAGCCACAAAGACGCAATGAACAACTATACCGTCCTCAAAGCTAGAGTTTGAGAACTTTCGTGGGCATGGTTTTTCCCGGTAGAACAAGGTGCCGGACCCAAAATTCGCAAGCCATCAAATTGGCCTTTTGACAATTGAAGGCCCCACGAGCTCGGTCCTTCGTTCTTTCTGTATAGTATCAGGTGCATACTCGTCAAGTTGCTGAAAGACCTATCTATCGATCCGATTCATTATGATCCCCGGAAGGTATAATTGGCTTTGCAGTGTAAATTTTTCCTTTTGCTTTACTGAGGTTTACGGAAATGTTTTATGCTCCGATAGCGCCACATAGATGTCTTCTATCTTTCCCTCTTTTCCGTAGTTGATGCGGTTTGTACCTGGGAAGTGACTACGGTACCTGCATTTTTAAGTTTAGATTCTCTCTATGAGCAGCAGTCCTATTGGGACGTTGCTACTAATCTAAATCCGGAAGATAATTGCATGTGTGAATGTATGGATCTGCCGAAAGTCTTATTCGAAGAATTTTGAAGAAAGTGAAACTCATGCGGGCAATCTTCCCCGCACGGGTACCTCGAGCTTGCATCCTGATTTACAAGCCAAACTTGGCTCGTCGTCGCAAAGCTGCAAACCGTGCAAACTGTGCTTGTGTTGGGACGGCAACTGAAAATAGGGTAGCAAAGTCATTGTACGTGTACACGATCGAAAACAAGAGTCAAACCATAGATCGTTCTATTGTTCATACAGTTATTCAAGCAAAATGACGAGCCTCAGTTGATTTGCACTGTTTTTTTCCCATTATGTTCCTTTAAAGAAAGTCACCAACTTGTCCTTCAAATCCAAAGCCTTGTCGCAGTGAGGCTTCAAGAGATGGAACACATGGCTCTCGCCCTCATGCTCCATAATCTGAACGGTCCCGCCCCATCCGCTCTTCTTCAGCTCCTCGTAGTACCACAGTCCTCGGCCCCTCAGGTGATCCCTTTCAGCCAGGAACACCAGCACCTTCTCGCACCCAATCCTGGCCAGGTCCTCGGGTGGCGGCTTCAGCCTCGGATCTGCCAACCCGCTGTTCTCAGGGCACAGGTACAGCCACATCCTGTCGTCATCGGTCCCTCCGAAGTACGGGTGTACCATGGCCACCCCTGCTATCGTAACACCGGCAGGAAACCCGGTGCGCCCAATCCGAACAAGCACGTTGTGGGATATATTTGCCCCAGCGCTATCCCCCGATATATAGACCCGCCCGAAATCCGCGTGCTTGTTCAGCCACTGGTCAGGGCCGTTCCCATTGGCATGTCCCAATGCCCACTGGGTCGCGGTACACGCATCATCATAGCACGCGGGGATCGGGTTCTCTGGGGCAAGACGATACTCGATCAAAACAGCAACGACATGAGCTTTCGCCACGAGCCAGCTCACGTATTCGTGGTGCCCCCGGTGGAAGGCAGACCCTATGGAGAAGCCTCCGCCGTGGATGTAAATGTTAGATATAATGTATAATTTAGGGTTTACTCTTCATTGCTATTCATTCTTTCCCTATATAAAGGGACTTGGCCTTGTAGTCTAAATTCATTCAAACAATAATATACACGAAATTCTCTCATCTCAACTTGGTATCAGAGCTACATTGTTACCTGAGGAGCGCCCATCGAGCCTGCCACACTGTGGCCGCTATGACGCCAGCCGCGCCAGCCGCACCAGCCGCGCCGCCCCGGTTCTCCGACAAGACCGAAGCTTTTCGTCACTGCTCGATATACTTCCGCTGCTCATTTCGGAAAACCGAGACCACCAGCAGACTCGCCGCCCTCAGACGACCCACGTCCTGAAATTTCATCGCCAACAGCCGCCGGACGCCACTGCACGCACCGCCACGCGCCGCCGCACTTCGGACCCAGGTAGCCCATTGCTGTTCACTGGTGTTTTGGACATCCTCCGTCGTGTTTTTCCAAAAACCAACACCAACCCACGACTCGCCGCCCTCAGTATAGTCAGCCAGTCAAGTTTCGTCTCTTTTCGCCTCCGGACGCGCCCTCACGCGCCGCCCCAAGGCCTGCGCGTGAGATCCACGCGCCTCCCCCAGCTGACACGCGCCCGCCACATGCTCGCCCTCGCCTGACACACGCCCGCACGCGCCCGGCACACACCCCAGCTGACGTCATCTGCCACGTCATCCATTTGACCGATCGTTGACCGGAGTTGACCGACCGTTGACCGGTTTAGCCCAGGCCGGTTCCGTCGATTTTTTGGCCGTTTCAACCATTTTCTTACCGGTTTCCGGTGTTTTCCGACCGGTTCTTGAGGTATTCCGATGTCTTGAGTTCGTTTTTGCTGTTATTTTTGTCATATCAGCTCTCGGTATATTAGATTCTGCTGATTCCATAATAGTGAAGTGCATATCATGGATAGAATGGAAGTCTCAATGCCAATTCAGACTATTTTGAATGGTTCTAATTATATTTTATGGTCTCAAGAAATATCAAGTTTCTTGAAAGGACGTCGGCTTTGGCGTTATGTCACTGGAGAAACTAGGGTACCTACTAGAATTGCTAAAGAAACTGATGATAAATTTGTGGATCGATTGGATGAATGGGATAGCAGAAATCACCAGATTCTCACATGGTTTCGAAATACTTCGATCCCATCTATCTGACTCCAGTTTGGCCTTTTTAATACAGCAAAAGAAGCTTGGGATCTTCTTGATCGTCGTTATTCTAGTTCAAATGTTTCCCATCAGTATCGGTTGTTAGGGACTTTATATCACATGCGTCAGGAGCTCGATCAATCTATTAATGATTTTCTATCATTCATGCATGCTATTTGGGATCAGTTGACCTTGTGTGAACCACGCATGGAAGGGGATGGTAATATTCGTAGAGCTGTTGAACATCGTGATCGTATTCGTTTCATGCAATTTTTTATGGCTCTGAATGATGAGTTTGAACCTGTGAGAGCCTCCATTCTACATAGAGATCCTTTTCCTTCTCTTGAGACAGTTATATCAGATTTATTGAATGAGGAGACTCGATTGGCCACCTTGAAAACGCAACGTCCTACTATGCCCATATCCACACTGACGGATGCAATACTTGCCACTCCGAGTTCTTCCTCCACGCGACGTCCATTTTGCAAACATTGTCGTCGACATGGTCATTTGGCATCGAATTGTTATCGGCTACGGCCTATGCAACCCACAGGATCGACCACTCAACCTCGTAGCCGAGGTCCCTTTGTCCGTCCATCTGCCAATGCTGCCATTGTCGAAGCTTCTTCCCATGGATCGTCCCACACATTAGTGTCTCTGGAGGATCTTCGTACCGTTCTCCGAGAATCTGGTACCTTCATCCCTTCTATTCCTAGCACTTCTGCTATGTCTACTGCTCCAGGTATTTCTGATTCTTGGTTCTTTGATTCTGCTTGTTGCAATCACATGACATCCAATTCTGCCTTATTTCAGTCTAAATCCTCCGCTTCACATGCACCTCATATTCTTACTGCTGATAATTCACATATGAGTGTTAGGCATACAGGAAACATTTCTACATCTACATTATCTTTAACTAACACCTTCCTCGTTCCTAAACTCTCACTCAACTTGATCTCTGTCGGCCAATTGTGTGAACTTGATCTTGATATTCACTTCTCTTCTCATGGTTGTCATGTGCAGGATCCTCGGACGGGACAGACACTTGGGACAGGCCGTAAAGTGGGGCGCCTCTTTGAGCTTGTTTCCCTAAATATTCCGACCTCTTTTGCTACTTGTGCTGCCACAGTGTCATCTGAAACTTGGCATTCTAGGTTAGGTCATGCTTCCTTTTCTAGGTTAAACTCTTTAATTTCAAGTGGTCATTTAGGTTCCGTTGACACTAAACATTTTGACTGTCTGCCCTGTAAGTTGGGAAAACATCATGCTTTACCGTTTCAGACTAGTGATTATGTATCCCATGCTCCGTTTGATCTCATTCACTCTGATATATGGGGACCATCTCCCACTCCCACCATGGGTGGCTCTCGCTATTTTGTCATTTTTGTGGATGACCATTCTCGGTATACCTGGCTTTATCTTATGAAAAATCGTTCTGAACTTTCTCGTATTTATCGTGATTTCGTTGCTATGGTTAAAACCCAATTTTCACGGGATATTAAGATTTTTCGTACTGATAATGCTATGGAATATAGAGATACCGAATTTCTTCGGATTCTTTCTCAAAATGGTACTATCATTCGGGGATGTCACGCCCCGAACCCTATGGCACGCGACAACCCTACCGAGGTCGATTCAGTGCGACGTCCCAGGACGCGTCGCCGACCCGAAACCCAAAACAGAGAACAATGCACAAGCGGAAGCAAACAAACACCCGTACAAATTAAAACCACATGACCAAGGATAGCGGTAATACCATAAATACAACTTGCACTAATAACGGGGATTTACAATGTCTATTACAACAGAATAAACATATAAAAGCCAAAACGGGTCAACAGCCACCAACGTCAAAAAGGGGGTACGTGGCTCGGCGGTCAAGCGCTATAACTAGCCGGGGCTCCTCTCAAAACGTATCGGTACGCCTGCCATCCTCAAGGCCGGGGTTCTGAAAAGTTGGTTTTCAACAACAGTGAGAATAAATCTCAGCAAGTAGGTTCCCTAAACCTAAGCTAGGCTAACATGCACCTCCTGACGAGCATTAATCAACACACCAATCAAACTATAATTGACTTAGGCCCTTAGGCCCAAATCCAATACTCACCTTGCCCTGCAAGTTAGGCACTTACAATTCAAGAATAAAACATAGGACCCAATCACAGCACATGCACACATCACTTGGTCACAACGCATGTCATGCTTATGCTCGTGCTCATACGCGTGCTCACGCCTCGTCAATGTATTTTTGCACGCTTGCACTCCAGCACACTTGCAATTATCAATTCTCCTCCGACCCGCGTTAAACGCATCGGGTTCGACCCGCGTAAAATGCATCAGGTCCATCACTTCGAGATCGATCTCCGGCCCGCGTAAAACGCATCAGGCTCATGACACATAACCCGCGTAAACGCATCAGGTTGGTCATCTTCCGGTAATCTGGGCATCGTCCCGCGTAACACGCCTCAGGACGGGTTCACTACCCCGCGTAAAACGCATCAGGGCTTTATGTGATCACTCATTCACAAACACCAATTGTTATCTGAACCCCGAGTAAAACGCATCGGGGCATTTTAGGTGATCACACACTCATGTCATTCGTGCACACTCATATATGCACATGCCATGCCAATGCTCGAGATGCACACCCATGACCATGAAGTTCACACTTGGGCACTCACGAATTTCACAATGAGCATTCAATTGTACAACGCCACTTATTCAATTCACAACACAATATGCTCAATTCAATGAATCACAAGCCCAATCAATCAATTAATTCAAATCGGCCATGGTACATCATCGGCACACGAAAATCACGCAATTAAGCCATTAAACTTGCACAAGTCTAAGGTCCACCAAGCATATCCTTTCTCGGCCACATAAGTACTCAATCCTGGCATCACATAACCACTACCAACCCATAAACAATCAGCCGCTTAATGGACAAATCAAGCACACACGGCCAATTCACAATTAATCCTCAGTTTCGCCGAACAAGGCCCGATAAATTCCACTATGGACAGCCACTAACCAGTCCCCCCTAGGCCTCCAATCCACTTCCAAATCATCACATTAGGCTTCCCAAATCCACCACATAAACAGCCACTACACGGCCCGATTGTTGCACCCATTATAGTCCGCATTTAGACCACGATTAATCAACATAATAGTCCAATCGAGCCTACACTAATCGGTCACCAACCAGATCACCTTAGGCCACTAAATCACCTCCAGATCACCACATTAAGCTACAAGAATCACCATGAAAACAGCCACCATGCGGTCCACAAATCACATCCGCCAAATCCACATAATCGCCTAAATTAATTTCCCCAATGAACAGCCGACCATCAGCCCACTCTAGACTATCAAGTCATATTTAAATCATCACATTAGGCTCTCATAATCACCACATTACCAGCCTAACTCGCAGCCCACGCATTGCGCCCATTTAATCCACATAATGGGCCGAATCGAATCCACAATAAACATCCACCGATCAGCTCATTCTAGGCCATCATATCACATTTAAATCATCACCCTAAATGAACACGAATTTAACCCGAACTCGAGCCGATTCAATCCAATATGTCCCGCCATCGCACAGCCCATTCTAAGCCTCTAAACCTCTATTAAAATTATCACACTAAGCTGTGAAATAGCCACAAGATCACCACTAAAACAGCCACAATCTAGCTCACAATTTCACTCGCCAAAACCATAAATTTTGTCCAAATCACAACTCCCATGATCAGCCACCACACAGCACGCTATGGACCGCCAAACCTCAGTCAAATGATCATTCTAGGTCACCAAATGCACCACAAAATCAGCCTCTAACAGCCACCACAATTTAACCCATAAATTACCCTAATTAGCCCCTAAAACCCATCTAGAAACACACATTAACCTAATTAGGGTTTAGGGTTGTACTCACTTGGATTCCTAGGCTCCAAATAGGGCTGAGCAAGAGTCAAAGGCGGCTGGACAGCGGCGGTCCCGCGCCGGAACAGTAACGGCGGCGACGGCTCCGGCGAACGGTGCGAGCGGCGGCGATGGTCTAGGCGATTCCACGGCCTAGATGGACACGGCCACAGAGAGAGAGGGAGGTGGGACGGCTGGACAGCTGGGCGAGGTGATGGATCCGGGCCAGAATAGTAACGGCGGCGGCGGAGATCCTCCGACGAGGTCCTTGAGCGGCCGAGAAGGAGAGGGGGAGCGGGAGAGAGGGAGATGGAGGCTGAGGGGGGGACGGAATGGTGATGGTGGCGACGAGCTGGTGGAGGCGACGGCGACCGGAACGGCGGCGTGCGGCGGTCGCGGGCGAGGCAGGACAGGGGAGGAGTCGGGCGAAGAAAAACAGGGGAAGGGAAGAAGAGAGGGGGGGTCGCGGCAGCAATGGCGCGGCCGGCGGCGGTGTGGCGGCTGGGCGAGCGGCGGCGCAGCTCGGTCGGAGCACGGCGGCGCGAGGCGGTCGGCAAGGTGTGGCCAGGCGGAGGAAGAAGCAGAAGCAGGAGTCGGGGCAAAGAGACGAAGAAGAAGAGGAAGGGAAGAGGAAGAAAAAGGAAAGAAAAGAAAAGAAAGGAAGAGAGAGGGAGGAGGAAACGTGAGCGGGAATTGAGGGAGGGGATGTCTGCGTGCACGGCAGACGTGCGCAGACACGGCAGAGAGAGAGAGAGAGAGAGGGGAATAAATTTAAATGTTCAATCAAATAAATAATGCAATTCAACGGCCCATAATTAAAACCGACAACGTTCCGACGGTCCAAATTAGTCCTAAAATATAATAAGGGACAAAGGCCAAGTTAATTAAATCAACTACCACGAGAGAGGTCTACTAGTCCAAATTCGCACCCGGTCAAAAACTCCCCTTTTTCCATTATTCCTGACAATCTTAACGCTGGCCACACTAATATCGACATCGTCCAATTTATTTCGTCCCGAAACTCCTGAAAATCGACTGCCAAGTTTGGGGTCTAAATAACGGCAAAATTCGATCGAGTGCGATTCTAGCGAAATCTCTCATTTAAAAATAATAACCGAGAGTGATCAGTTCCCGGGCGAGATTTTACTATAAGTACACTGACAAATTACACGTTTTATAAATCCCAAAAATGGGCCGAAATTCGGGATGTCACAATCGCTCTTGCCCTAGCACCTCTCAACAAAATGGTAGAGCTGAACGTAAGCATAGACATATCTTAGATGTAGTACGCACCTTACTCATCTCTGCCTCTTGTCCTGAACGTTTTTGGGGGGAAGCTTGTCACACTGCTGTTTACACTATAAATCGTACTCCATCACCTATTATAGGTCACATCTCTCTTTACGAGCATTTGTATGGTAGTGTCCCAAATTACACTCTTTTACGTGTATTTGGTAGTGCCTGTTTTGTGCACCTTCATCCACATGAGCGCACGAAATTAGAACCTCGTGCCCATGTATGCTGCTTCCTTGGATATGGCATTGAGCACAAAGGGTATCGATGTTGGGATCCCACTTCCAACCGTCTTCGTGTGTCCCGTCATGTCACCTTTTGGGAACACAAGATGTTCTCTTCTATTTATCTGTTTGACCCTTCTACTCATGTTCCTTTCTTTACCAATCCTTCCGTGGACTTATTTCCAGAAGATACCACACTTCCATCCACATCTGACTCTTCCATTCCAGATGTATCTTTCCCTCATCTTGAAGCAGGGCCTTCTGATGACTCCACTTTGGCCACCTCTGACGTGTCTGCACCTTCCGCAGATTCTCCACCACCGGTCATTCCTTCCTCCTCTGATCGTTGCCCCACCAGAGTAAGTCAACCTTCTGTTCGGCTTCGAGATTACCATTGTTATTCTACGATAGCTTCCCTTCATGAACCTCGCACATATAGAGAAGCTGGTACTAATCCTCTTTGGCAGAAGGCAATGGCAGATGAGTTACAAGCTTTAGACAAATCTCATACTTGGGATTTAGTTGCTCTGCCTCCTGGTAAGTCCGCTGTCGATTGTAAATGGGTGTACAAGATTAAGACAAAAGCAAATGGTACTGTGGACTGCTATAAAGCTCGCCTGGTTGCGAAAGGCTTCACTCAGGAATATGGTATTGACTATGAAGAGACTTTTGCCCCTGTTGCACGTCTTACTTCTGTTCGCAGTCTCCTTGCTATCGCCGCTGTTAAGTGTTGGCCTACATTTCAGATGGATGTCAACAATGCATTCCTCAATGGCGATCTCACCGAGGAAGTTTATATGGTACCTCCTCCTGGCTACACTCATTCTTCCCACCAAGTATGTCGATTACGTCGTGCATTATATGGATTGAAACAATCTCCTCGTGCATGGTATTCCAAGTTTAGCTCCACCATGGCATCTCTTGGCTTTAAATCTAGTCCCTATGACCACGCTCTTTTTGTTCGACATACTTCTCATGGGTCTATTCTGCTGCTCTTATATGTCGACGATATGGTTATTACAGGTGATGATCGTCCCGAAATTTCAAAAACTCAAGCATTATCTTAGTCAACAGTTCGAGATGAAGGATCTTGGACAACTTAGTTATTTTTTAGGCTTGGAGGTTACCTCAGACACATCTGGTTATTATCTTTCGCAAGCCAAATATGCCACTGATCTTCTTTCTCGAGCAGGACTCACGGACACCAAGGTCGTTACGACCCCTCTTGAGATCAAGGCCAAATTTGATGCCGGTGATGGGACTCCTCTCCAAAACCCCACCCTCTATCGACAGCTAGTCGGCAGTATTATATATCTTACTGTTACTCGCCCTAACATCGCTTATGCTGTTCATATTGTCAGCCAGTACATGACAACGCCTCGTACAACTCACTTTGCTGCAGTTCTTCGTATTCTTCGCTATGTCAAGGGTACGTTATTTCATGGCCTTCACTTTTCTGCTCATTCGACATTGGAGTTGACTGCCTATTCAGATGCTGATTGGGGTGGTGACCCTCAAGATCGTCGCTCCACTACGGGTTACTGTTTTTTCTTAGGCACTTCACTTATCTCCTGTCGTAGCAAGAAACAATCCACTGTTGCTCGTTCTAGTACAGAAGCTGAATATCGAGCTCTTGCTGATACCACATCGGAGTTATTATGGTTGTGATGGCTACTGGAAGATATGGGAGTCCGTCATCATAGTGGGACAGTCCTACATTGCGACAATCGTAGTGCTATCCAAATTACACATAATGATGTTTTCCATGAACACACCAAACACATTGAGATAGGTTGTTACTTCATCCGCTATCATGTTCTTCGTGGCACTCTACGACTTGTTTTTACTTCATCAGCTGATCAAACTGCCGATATCTTCACAAAGACACATCCACCTGGGCGGTTCCTAGATCTTCTCTCCAAACTCCAGTTGACTTGTTTCAACTCACCTTGAGTTTGCGGGGGGATGTTAGATATACTGTATAATTTAGGGTTTACTCTTCATTACTATTCATTCTTTCCCTATATAAAGGGACTTAGCCTTGTAGTCTAAATTCATTCAAACAATAATATACACAAAATTCTCTCATCTCAACTGTAAATTAGGACCGGGAGCCTCTCTGTCGGGCCGGGCCAGCATGGCATGAAGACGCGAGCCGAGACCACTGGCTCAGAGGAGATGGTCACGTCCTTGGACCGGACCTCGGCGTCTTCGGATGGCGGCACCTTCAGTTTCTCCATTGGCATCAGTCTTTCGACGCGCCCATCTTTGTATACCTTGAAGAAGGGGAAGAATTCATGGAGCACGTCGCCACTGTTGGCCTTGGTTGGCTCCATCCTTCAGCGAGAGAGAGAGATATGGAAAAAAGCTTCGATACAGGAACTTGCTAGGCCAAATTGATTCACAGACGTATCGGAACTTGTGCAAGAGATCGTTTGGGGGTTTGGACTTTATGCTCGCTGCTTTGTCATTGCTTTGACAACTACCCTGTTTTGACAACTACCCGTCCGACGGAATAGTCGTATACTTGGACTTTATTATGCATCGCATTGAACATTTTCTTAATCCAAGTAACAACAACAAAAAAAGGAGAGAGAATAGCTTTCTTCTTCTCTTGCTTTTACACTTTTCTTTAAGAAAATTGCTGAAGGCTCATATGCCTTTTGTCGTACAAGGCCCGACTCAATCGACCACCTATTCTTTGGGTGTGCTTTCACGGGCTCTCTCGCTCGATACTGGGCAGGTAATTGTAATTTATCTTTGACTGCTAGCTCGTGGATGAATATTGTAAGATGGGCTACCCGAGTCATTGGTGGACAGACCTTCCATTAACGTATTGCTCGTGCCTCCTTTGGAGCGATGTGCCATTGCATTTGGACTGAACGTAACAATATCCTTTTTAGGGATCGCAACCCCTACTTGCCTGCTATGCGTGCCCATCTGGCCAAGACTATAAGAGATGTGGCTGTTTCCCTTCAACCTGTCGTTGACACACCGCGTAACAGAAGACTTCAAGTCAAATGGGGTATTCCGGCCTCTATTTTCCAGTAACTCTAATGGCGTTAGCCTTATAGGTTTCTAATCTTATTTGGCCGCTGTTTTGGTGTAATTAGTGCTTCGCGCTTGGTGTATTTATGCATTGTTTAGTTGTTACACCTTTGCACCCGTCGTGACACTTTTGTGTTGCCTCAGGTTCGAGGTTTTTGTGTACGGCTACTCCACTTGTAATTTGCGTGTTGAAAAATCAATATATCTCTTACCTTACCAAAAAAAAAACTTCAAAAATAATCCATATTTTCAAGGGATTATGACAAAATTTATATATTAACGTATGTGTTAATGTTAACATATTATGAAAATTTCAAATGTTTGAAGTTGGAAAAAAAAAACTCAAAAGTGCGCTCGCCACAAGACTTAGGTTGAGCAAAAAAAGTAAAAGTCAATTCGGACACACTTTATGATGTTATCTATCGTTTAAGAATGCCACTCTACTAGACATTATATGATTTTATGAGTACGAGTATCATCCGCAATTAATATTGAAATGAGCAACTTATTCCTGATTAAAGTTATTTAGTAATGGCTCCCACCTAACAGTCATATTTTTTTTTTTTTTTGGGGTAAAGGGGATGGTAGTCGGACCATTTTGATTTAACACTACAAAGGACCGAGGTAGGTGCCCTTGGATCCCAACTCACTTTCTATCAATGAATGTAACAACTTTAAGATAGAGAGTCCCATTTAATTTATTCAACGGAATTTTTCTTCGTATATAGTGTGAGCTTAAGCTCCTTTTTTATAACACTTGGTGCGCCGAAATTAGTTGGGTGGACGATCAAGCGATGCTCCAGCACTACTTAGAATTTCTCAGTCTATGTTTCAACCGGACATCCATTGCATTTCACGTGTTACATGCAACCTACATTATTTGGAAGTATGAGATGGACAATGATAGTTAGTGTAACGTAATGCTACGGGTCTAAGGTTCCATTTGTTTGAAGGAAAACCATTTCTAGGAAATTATTTTCTGGCTTTCCGGTATTTGGATAACGAAAAACTAATAGATTTATAGAAAACGCAAGCTTAGATTGGGGGACAACGACTTTTCCTTCTAACACTAAAGAAATCGCTTTCCCTAAACCACAACACAAATGAAAACTAACCGTCTTTCTTGAAAATTGAAAATATCTCCCTTTATCATGAAATTTTTAGTAAAACAAATGCACCCTAAATATATGATTTTGAGGTTCTTGAGCAACTTTTGTAGAATGAGATCACCAACCTTTTGGATAACAGAGTTAATATTTATATATGATATTTAGAACTCCTCAAAAATTGGCTGAGTGGTTAAACATTTGATTTGGATTCAACAAATTTGCATATCTGAATCTCGACATTTCTTACTCAAGTATCCCACAAGCCACACTGACCGCCCGATCGGTAGAGTCTTAACCCGGTATGTGAAAAAAGGGAAAAAGAAGTTGTTGACACCAAAATGAGGATCGGCATAGACGTTGAGTCGGCTTTAATGTCGAATCTGGTGTATAATGGGAATCAGCCATCTACCGAAATTCGTTTGGATAAAGTTCGGGAACATGCTGGGAAGCAAGCGTGAATGGCATCATATCCTGAATTCGGTAATTGATGAAGATCGGGATATTTACCGAAACATGGAAAGTCTATAATCGGGAATATATCGAAATTACAGAAAATCGGTAAAGATGAATCATGACCCAGCCACGTGAATCATGATAACATGAAGTTATGAACTAAAAGCGGAGATAGTGAGCACGAGCAGGTCGTGGGGAGTTACTTGTCCAGATTTGAAGACGTCCCAACGGTTGAGATCAAGTTTTGGTGGACAAAGAAATGGGAAAACGTGATTAGATAAGGCAGTTAGTGGAAGCGCCAGGATTTAAAGTTTGAAAATATAGAAATAACGGACAAGCAGTTACAAGATATGAGGAGATACAAATACTCAGGAGAAAGAAGAAAAAAGATCAACAACAATGAAAAAACACTCAAGTTTACCTGCACTTTAGTTTCTTCTGTACATTTACTTCCTGCATTTACAGCTTCCTGCAACTTTAATTAACTTTCAAGTCCTTTACAGCTTTCATAGGAGTATTGTAACTTAGCTTGGAACTCTGTTAATCTCAAATCCATTTTCAATCCATTCGATTTCTATCCGTTCCATATAATCCTGTGTTATATTCTGTTTTTCACCACAACTCTCCTAGAAATCAAGCCACAGAACCTATCTTAATAAAAACCGAAAAATCAAAGACTCGGTGAAAGGTATTCCTCGTCGTAAAAAGAGCGAACATCTTTTTGGCACGCCTGGTGGGACCCGCTAGTAAGATTTGGAGAAATGGTGAGAACTAGGCAATCTGAAGGAATACCGGTAGGTAACGTTAACAATCCAGTTGATGGAGCACGTTCTGAGCACTCCGCAGATAATCAAGTAGAGGAGAATACCGACATTCCTCGGCAATTAACTGAAGAACAAGCCCGCGCGTTGGCACCAGATAGCACCTTAGTAGCCACGATGAAAAGGATGTTTGAGGAACAGCAGAACGAGCTTACCAATCATATAGTGCGACATGTGACAGATGTGATAAAACCCATGGTGATCAAAGCTGTAAATGAGGTAATATCGCGTCCCAATTCATCTTCTCAAGTTCCACCCTTTTATGCCAATCCTCTAGGGATAACATTGTTTCCACCAACATCGGAACCTCCTCATGTTGGATATAACGGTAATGGGGGATCAAATTCGCAACCTCATGTCAGAATTATACCAAGGCCAGAGAATCCTATCCCTATAAACCTTATGAATGGTGTGAATGGTTACAATTTCCCTCAACATGCCCCAAATGATGTTAATTTGGTTAATCCCATGGTCACAAATACACCACCAGTGCTGAATGTACCTCCGCCAGTAAATATGCCTAATGTTGATCATATCAGACCACCTGCGCCTCAACCGTATCCTCATGTGATAGAAAACCCTCTTTATAGGCCGCCACTACCAGTTAATTTTAACATGGAACAGTAGGGGTGAATAAACCTCAGTAGTTTGATCCTAGAGGTCAAGATCCTTGGTTAGGCCAGCAAAATTTAAGACCATGGAACCCAGATAGAGTTGCAGAACTGGTAATGCAACAATTGGGAGCAGAGAGGGGATTGCCAAGGCCAGTATATAGGAAGCCACATCCCGATTGGGTTAACAACATACCATATTCAAGGGGTTTCAAGATGCCAGATTTTGCTGTATTTACAGGAGAGGAGGATCAGTCAACTGTGGAGCATGTGGGTCAATTCTTGACCCAATGTGGAGAAGCTGGAACTAATGAGTATTTAAGGTTAAGGCTGTTCCCATTGTCTTTGTCAAAAACAACGTTTACTTGGTATACAAATTTGCCTGCGAATTCTATTCAAACATGGGCCGAGATGGAAAAGCAGTTTCATTCTTAATTTTACCGAACGGTACCAGAGGTAACGGTAGCCGATTTGGCCAGGATGTATCAATATAGTACCGAGACAGTAGATCATTTTATTGCACGTTTCAAGAAATCCAGAAACCGATGTTTAACATCACTCACTGAAAAGGAGTTCACGGATTTGGCTTTTAACGGCTTGAGGTTTAACCTTAAGGAAAGATTTGAAGGACAAGCCTTTGACAATCTCTTTCAGTTAAACGCTCGGGTTTCCAAGTACGAACACTTGTTGAAGGAGAAAGATAAGAAGCCGAATAAGGACAATCGGCAGACAGTGGCATTTGCCGAAAGTACCGAACATGGTGGTACAGCCGAAGAGGAGAATGAAATAGCCGTAGCAACTATGGTGCTTGAAAAACCGTATGTGTGCCCAGCACTTAAACCGGCCAGGGTGAGAGATGTATCCAAGTTCAAGGCTAAGGAGACAAATAACTACTCCTTTGATATCTACAAGTTAGATAAAATATTTGACCTGCTGTTGAAAGATGGAATGATCAAATTATTTGAAGGACAAGTAATCCCGTCAAAGGAGGAAATAACAGATAAGAGATATTGCAAATGACATCACTCTACAACTCATGATACGGTGAATTGCATTGTGTTTAGGAAGACTATCCAAGAGGCAATTCGCCAAGGTAAGATTAAATTTGCCGAAGACAAAAGTAAAGCCCCAATGGAAGTAGACACAAACCCTTTCCCGAACATGATCAGCATGGTTAATATACGAGAGACGACGAGCGATGACAACAAACAACTTTGCACTCGTTGTCACCAAGAGTTGATTCGTCAAGATCGGGAGATTCCCAAGTTCCAATACATGAGAAGAACGAGGGGGCGATACAGATCGGGATCGTTTGTCCGCAGGATAGGTAGACCACAGGTAAGATCTGAGATTGTAACTACCGAAAACTTGTCAGTACAAGGAAGAGAGGAGGAAG